GTAGGTAGGAAAGAAATCTTACTGTTATTGCTATAGTCTTTATGCATTGCTAACTCTAAAAAGATTCTTTGTAATTTTATTATGCAGGCCAAAACACTAAGAAAACTAATTCAACAAACATTCAGACAGTTTGCCAACCTTAACAGAGAAGAAAGTATTCTGAAATTCTTTGAGATTCTGTCTCCAGTGTACAGATTTGATAAAGAATGCTTCAAGTGTGCTCTAGGCGTAAGTATGGGAACATGGGAAGTCGTGGACTAGTTTGAATTTTTTTTTTTGCTTTTTCTTATCCATGTATATCTAAATTTCTGATTGGAAGAAAGCTAATTTGTCACATTTTTAAACAACATGAGAATATTATTTTATCATTTTCACAGTGGAGAAAATACAAAATATATCAATGTGAGAATAAAATTACTTTTTAAATATCACGCCTATGTTTATAATGAGGTTTTTTATTCCAGCCAGCCCTGCAATTTTGTTGATTAACTGTTCTCCAAGGGCTAGTTGACCTCTTCAGATACTCTTCCCAAGGAATCCACCATCTCCAAGTACATTGGAGACAGCATAGTGTCTCTCTGTCTAGGCTCAGTAGATCCTGGGTTAATGAAATTATAAATGTTTTATCTTATTTGGTTAGAAAGATTCATAGCAAGCCGAGCCAACTCCCTTTTGATCTTTTAATATATCCACGGCTCTTTATCTAAGCTATTTCTTTTTCCTTCCGGCACCTCTGTCCTCACGTTGGTTAGAAAGATTCATAGCAAGCCGAGCCAACTCCCTTTTGATCTTTTAATATATCCACGTCTCTTTATCTAAGCTATTTCTTTTTCCTTCCGGCACCTCTGTCCTCACGTGTTTTACCTTCGAAAGTCAAGCTGGATTATTTCAGTGGAACTGGCAATCGGCCCAGAAGAAGGGATCAGTTACCTAACAGACAAGGGCTGTAATGTAAGTCTGCTTCTGTGATGTCTTGAGAATTTGACTTTAGACAAAGAGGAATCAAGTTAAGGAAATGGGACGTTCTTCTGGAAAAGACATCATTCTGCATTTAAATCTTTTCACTGCATGGTGTTCGTTGCTAGGGTGGGTGGGTGTAAATAAGAGAAACTTCAGGCCACTGTTGAAATTCTTCAGAATTCTTTAGTTATGAGAGGAAGTGAATCATACAAATCGTACATATTGTAGTGAGATCTGGATGGGGTTGTTACAGTTTATTTGGAGGAGTTTTAAATGTTATTTTTTTATTCAGTTCTCTGTATGGTTTGAGTATACTTGTCATGGCATCATATCCTTTGAAACAGCCTGTTCAGGCTGTCCCCGGTGGGGGGGTGGGGGGGATATGTTATACATTCAGAACTCTCCTTACGGGATTTACGAAGAGTTTTTTTCCCCAGCCTTACTCACCTTACTGAGAAAAAAGTGCCATTAGGTAGAAGTCCACAGCTTGTCCTCTACTGCCACACCAGACCTTCCTTCTTCCGTTCTCAGCAGAAGTGCTAGCCTTTGCTTGTGTGTTCCTGTTTCTTTCTTGCAACAAGTGTGATTGAGCACCTGCTTGGTGCCAGGCACCTTCTAGAGATTCGAGATATAAAAAAGAAGAAAACAGAAGTCCCCGCCTTTATGTAGCTTACACTCAAGTGTACAAAATAAATAAGGACTACATGAGAAGTAGAACTATGTAAGGCACCTTATGCTGAGAAGGTCATGCTCCCATTTTAATGGGGAGTCAGGGAATGTAATTTTGAGGGGCTACTTCACAGGTCTCTCACCAGCAAGTGTTCTTTTTTACTCATATTGTTTTGTAATTTAAACTTTTTACTTCATTAGTTAAGACATGTACCCATACACATAATTTCACATATAAGTGCATACATGTGATTAAACCATGTCATGTCATACCTCCTTTCTTCCGAGTGTGCTTTGTGGCTTCCATCCCCGCTCAGCTGGGTTCTGCTTCCATTATACTCTTCTCCTCAGCCTTCCCTGTTGACCCCATGCGCACACGTAAATGGCCCAGTGATGATTATTCTGTGTTTTTCTCCATAGTCTTGTTCTCTTATTCAGAAATGGTGTCATCATCAGGCCTACTGGCCTACATCTTGGTCATCTCACTCCGAACCTGGTAGAAATTCAGTCTGGTCCACCCTGGCTGTGTCCCTTCTCTCTCTGGGAGCCAGGTGGAACCATATGGAGGACATTTGTTTTGCTTTCAGCTTTCTGCTCCAAGACAGTGACATAATAAATATTCTTTGACAAGTATCTTTATGAACTACTGTTTTTTCTCCTTAAGGAATAGATTCCCAGGGATAGAACTGTAAGATCCACTCAAATAGTTTTAATTTTAAAAGAGGCTGCCAGATTGCTTTTCAGAAAGGCTAAGAAACTTCATATTGCCACCAGCAGCATATGAGAGTACTAATTTCTCGCTCATTTGATGGCAGTAGTTCTAATAGCTTTTTTAACTTTTCCATTTTAGTAGGTATAAAACAATTCTTATTATTCTTTTTGTTCAGTTTGATGTAAAGCAAGCATCTAGTGGATTTAAACATATTTTCATGTCCTGGATGTTTCTCTTCCCACTTCTGTGAATTAACTGCTTATGTCATATACTTTGCCTATTTTACCAACACAGTTGTCTTTCTTCTCAATTTGTACATCTCTTTACACATTAAGGAAGTCAGTGTGTTTTCCTATATCTTTGTTAAAATTTTTTTTCCAAATCTCGTGTTGGCTGTTGACTTTAAACAGACCAACCTCAGAACCCCTTGAGGCCCCTCCTGCCCCTTTCTAGTCACCAGTCCTGCACCCTAAGAGTGACCGCTATGTGACTTTTGGCATCGTTGATTAGCTTTTCAGTAAATGCTGCTGGATTAACTGTATGTTCAGAGGAAAACTGAATGAATTTTGACCCCTGTGTTACATACCATGACAAAAATCAATTCCAGATGGAATATAGATCTACATATGAAAGGTAAAAATGACAAAAGTTTTAGAAGAAAACATAAGAGAATATCTTTATAACGTTAGGGTAGGCAGAGATTCCTTAAATAGGACATAAAAAGTGCTGCTCTAAAAAGGAAATTCTGATGAGTTGAACTACATTGAAATCAGTAACTTTTTTTCATTGAAAGATAGGAGAAAGGCAAGCCAGGTATTTGCAATAAATATATTTGACATAGACTCTTAATCCAGGATAAAGAATGACTACAAGTCCTTAAGAAAAGGACAGACAGCCCATCAGAGGAAATCCAAATGGTTAATAAGTAAACGAAAAGGTGTTCAGCCTCATAGTCAACAGACAAATACAGAGTGATACTGTTACACATGGCTAAAGGGAAAAAGCCACCTAGTGCCTAGTGCCGAGTGCTAGCAAGAATGTGGAGCAGCTGGAACTTTCATATCAGCTGATGAGAGCATAAACTGGTGCAACCTCTTCAGAAAATGATGACATTATACATCTTTTATTATGTATTTTTTTGTTAAAACTCTAAAATTAGGTCTGTAGTCTCATATTTTCTCACAGATTTTTCTTTGCCTTTCTGCATGTATGTGTTTAATTCATCTGGTGTTTTCTCATCAGAATGATAGTAATAATTGCAATTAGGGCTTGTAAGAGAATTGAATACATTAATAAATTTGAAATATTTAGATTATAGCCTAGTACAAAGTAAGCACTTAGAAAATATTAATTATTATAGTCATTATGTAGTTGCTATTGTTGTCCATATTCTAGGTGAGTAGCTAATTGTGTCAATGCAGTTTATTAAATAATTTAATCTTTTACGTCTGAATTGAACCACCACTTTCCTAATCTCCTTCTGGTTCCTCTGTTCTTTTCCATGGAGCCAGGTGTCTCTTTTGATACCATACTGATTTGGTTGCTGTAGTTTGATGCTATGTCCCAATATCTTCTTTTCTTCTATACCTTGTATATCATTCTTCTTTTGTACCCTTTCCTGGCTGTTTCTGATTATTTTCTTTTTCAAAACCAAATTTATGATATTAAAAGAAAATTCTGTTGGGATTCCAGTTTGTATGTTAATTTTGTGAGATTTTTTTTTTTAAGTAAACATTTTTGGATCTTTTGTTATCTGAGAATATGGTATATTTATCTATTTCATTAAAAGAAAATTCTGTTGGGATTCCAGTTTGTATGTTAATTTTGTGAGATTTTTTTTTTTTTAAGTAAACATTTTTGGATCTTTTGTTATCTGAGAATATGGTATATTTATCTATTTGTTCAGGACTTCTTTTACATCCTTCAGTTAGATTTCAGTGAGTGGATTTTGGGGGTGGGGTGGGCATGTCCAATTTAAAATTCATACTGTGGGGGCGGCCCGGTGGCGCACTGCTACAGTGCGCCGCTTGGGAGCGCGGTGGCGCTCCCGCCGAGGGTTCGGATCCCACATACAGACCGGTTCCCGCTCACTGGCTGAGCGAGGTGCGGGCGCGACACCGAGGGTTGAGATCCCGTTGCCGGTCCCGGTCCGGTACGGGGGCAACACTGAGGGTTACGATCCGTTGCCGGACACACACACAAAAAAAAGATAAAATTCATACTCTGAGTATAAAAGAATATATTTGAGTATTGCATATCATATGAGGGTACTTCAAAAAGTTCATGGAAAGACTAGTATTATCTTTTAATTCTATTTTTCCATGAACTTTTTGAAGTGTCCTCATATGGTTAGCAACCTTATTATTTATGTAATAGGTATTTTTAAATTAGCATCTTGGATTTTCTCGATATATAATTGTGTAATCAGCAAAATAAGAATTATTTTAACTTTTTTCCCCATAACCGATACAATTTTGTTTTCTTATACGCACAAGAATCTCAAAGATCATGTTTAATAACAGTGTGGTGGAGGCATCTATTTTGTTTTACAGTTTATCAATTAAAAGTGTATATTATTTAGGGTAATTTTTGTTGAGTTTTAACAACATGTCTTTAATGTTTTAAAATTATGACCTTTTGATCTTTTGCTTAGAATTTTTATTATGAGTAGCTCCTAAATTTAATCAGAGGCCTTTTTAACCTGTACTGATATGATCCTGTTTTTATCTCCTTTAATTTGTTATTATAGTAGACTATATTAATAGATGTGCTGATACTGAGCCATTAAATAACTCCTTGTTATATTACTCTTTTGAAATATTGATTTATTATATTTGTTAATTGGAAGAATTTTTACAACTATTTGTAAGTAAGATTAATCTAGGCTTTTCTTTTTTTATATTAACTTTATAAGGATATGGTATTAAAGCTACATTCATTTCATCAGGTGAATTAGTGGTCTTTCCATGATTTTTAATGGCCTGAAATATTTTAAGTCAGATTGGAATTGCATGTTCTTTGAAGGTTAGATAGAAGTGATCTATGTAACCACATGGCACCTTTTTCCATAATACATGTTTAACTATCTTTATAATATCTTCAGTAGTAATAGATCTATTCATATTTTCCACTTCTTGTGTCAATTTTGGCAATTTATATTTTGTTAGCATACTATCTGCTTTAGTTCTCTTAACATTTTTCCAGTAACTTTATTTCTATATCCTGTCCCATTCCTAAGTTTGTCTCTTTTGGATCAGCTCTTTTTTCAAACTTACAAAGGGTCTGTTTGTTCTAGTTGTCTTTTGAGGGACAAGCGTAGGGATTTATTACAGCATTTCTATTCATTTTTATTAATGTTAGTATTTTCTTTGTTAATCCCTTTTCATAGTGGCTTGGCTATGTTTGTTTTTTTATTATGCCATTTCATTTTTATTAATGTTAGTATTTTCTTTGTTAATCCCTTTTCATAGTGGCTTGGCTATGTTTTATTATGCCATTCGCTTAAAGCACTTTTTAAAATTTTATTTTGGTTTAATTTGAAGGCCGTTTTCTTCTTGTACAACTTTTAACATGTCTTACCATTTTAGGTATGTTGCTTTCTCCTTTTTAT